AAAAAAAAGTATCTGCACAAATGGAGAATATGAGCCAGCCAGCCACGTGAGAAGTCGGTAGAATCAGAAGAAAGAATTAGCTCTAATGCCGTGGCCAGGAGACCTACTAAGAACAAAACCAGCCAACCGACCTGTGTTTGGGTGAAACAGTTCCTTACCCAACACAGCCAAAGCATCCTGGGGGCATCCTGGCACCCTCAGCCTTAGGGCAGGCAGCCCGTGGGGAAATAGCGAAACACTTAGCTGCTAGCGGAAAGGTCAGTGGTTCAAACCCACTCAGTGACGCCCCAGGAAACCCTAGTGGGCAGCTCCTGCTGTCCTATAAGGTGCTGTGATTTGCAATTAACTTGGCAGCACACAGCAATAACAGCCCTCGGTAAATGGTGAAGTGTCTATTCATCTATTTTGACATAATAAATATTGGAGTTGTGAATGTGAGCTGTTGTTGGTTTTCTTAAAAATCGTGTGTTTGGAAAAAAAAATTGTGTGTGTGTGTGTGTGCTGCCATGATGTAAACCCTAAACCCAAGTTGACTGTGACTCCGATTGACCCCAGAGGTCAGAGTAGAACTGCCCCACGGCGTTTCCAAGGCTGTCCATCTTTATGGAAGAGGCGGGCTCCGCTTTCCCCCATGGAGCAGATGGTGGGTTCAAACTGCCAGCTTTCGAGTTAGCAGCTGAGCATTTTAACCACTGCGCCAACAGCGCTCCTCTGTATGACGTACTATGTACGTGAACAATTGCCCTGGGGTGTCAGTTCCTGGGTGCACGGCTTTCTTCCAAACCAAGCCTGCTTAAACAGGTCTCTCTGCTCCGTGGATGGCTGCAGACAGAGCCTCTCAGTAAGAGTCTTGTCTTCGTCTGAGTAAGCTGCCTTCATAAACGACCCAGTCACAACAGCTCCTTCTGAGGGTGTCTGCTGACTGAGTTCAAGTCAAGGTGGAGGGGGTCGGCTCAGGAGGCTAGGGTGTGACTCTCTTTGGGAGTCCAAAGGGAAAACTCGATAGATTTTCTTGAAGGACACAGGAAGGTGATGGGAATTTCTTAGGAAGAGCTTTTTTGAAAATTAGAAGCTGCACGATTAAGGAAAAAGCCAGGGAAGTTGCTCGCAGG